TTTAAATTATTTGCTCTGGATTTACATTGAGCTCTCTGGATTTTATCCTCCTTGGGTTTACCCATACGGATTACCTAGTTTTTCATAAACTATATATATATATATATATATATATATATTTATTCGGAAATTATAACATAAATATATTATAAAATCAATAATTGCCATTTTGTTTCAACTCTTCTGGTGTCTTATCAAGTGATGTTGAATGTAGAACCTACATTCAGCACTTGATATGATACCAGAAAAGTTGAAACAAAATGGCTATTTTTGTAGAGATTTTATAACATATTTATGTTATAATTTCCGAATAAATTATATTTGCTCTACTCTGTATTGAGCACTCTTTTAAGAATAGTATTTTTTTTGTTTATTGAATTTATTCCGTATACTCCAATCTTATACTTGGGTATATATATATATATATATATATATATATATATATATATATATATATATATATTTAGTTTATGCAAATTTAGGTAATCCGTATGGGTAGACCTGAGGAGGATGATATCCAGAGAGCTCAATGTAAAATTCAGAGCAGATATGTTTGAATAAAAGACAGACCACGTTAAGATTCCATGTAATAAGCTATTTCACCATAACCCTTTAACAGGATTCTGGATCATCAGACTTTACTTCCAAAAGCTGAAATGAAAATGAAAAGAAATTCACACGTTTTTTACGGACCTCATCAAGTATACGCAAAGTTAACGAAGTGAGGAAGTGAGGGGGAGAGGGATATGAGTGTGTCATATGTATCATTTTAGTTTCCTATTTATATTTTAGTTTCATATATATATATATATATATATATATATATATATATATATATATGTTATTAATTTATTTGCTTAAACATTATTTTTGATGGATACTCATATTTGAGTAGATGGTCTGTATTTTATTAAACAGTATAATTATTCAAGAAATCTTATAAAAATATGAGCCCTCTTGCAGAATTCGAAACTTGGAGAAACCATCATTAGATCTGAGATGCCTTGGCCTCTCGGCTACTCAGAACCTCATGATAAAAGGACACGAAACAGAGCGGATATGTATATTTTGTGAATCGGGAAACTGTTCAAAGGCACTATTTGTTTGATCAGAGGCCCTACGTGACCGAGCGGTTAAGGCATGTCTGAGGTAGTGACGCTTTTACACTAGGAAAAAACAATCAAATTATAAATATGTCGGATTTAATCAATTATATATATATATATATATATATATATATATATATATATATATATATATATATATATATATAATTGTAGGAGAACGAACAGTAGGATGACAGCGTTCAAAATGATAGTAACACCATAATTCCCCACCTGATGAGACATTTAAAAAAGGTTTCGCCTTTTTGACGTTGATATAAAAATGTACAATTTTTTAGTGATATGTGCATGTTCTAATGTAACAATGCATAAGATATATATATAAATATATATATATATATATATATATATATATTTTAGTTTATGCAAATTTAGGTAATCCGTATGGGTAGACCTGAGGAGGATGATATCCAGAGAGCTCAATGTAAAATTCAGAGCCGATATATTAGATAAAGACAGACCACGTTAAGATTCCATGTAATAAGCTATTTCACCATAACCCCTTTCAATAGCTTATTACATGGAATCTTAACGTGGTCTGTCTTTTATTCAAACAAATATATATATATATATATATATATATATATATATATATATATATATATATATATATATATCAGTTTGTTCAATATCTATTTATCTATTTCAGTCTTTTCATACTATCTATCTATTTCATTCTGTTTGCATTTGTATCGTACTAGTTAACGGTATATCTAGTAATGTCAGTCTGCGCAATATGTCCGTCTCTTTGTACCGAAATCTTATCTACTTAGATATACATCTATATTCATCTATAGATATATCTACCGATGCATGTAACCTAACTCTCCTCTATTCATTCTATGGCAATCTATCTATCTATCTATCTATCTATCTATCTATCTATCTATCTATCTATCTGTCGGCCTGTGCTAATTTACCTATCTATCTCATTTTGTTCATATCTATTACGAACCCCTTGTAGAGTTGGGTGCTAAGGTTGATAAGTGTGCATGACTATCGTTTTTATTCATTTTTGTCGCCATTTTAAAATGAAGGACTTATAAAAAAAGACCGCCAACCGGAAGCTTGGAGGCCGAACTAATTTGTAATACTTGATGAGATTATATCAGAAGTGAAAGAGTACACTTCTCCATGGGTCTCCCCAGATATCAACATAATTGTCGACCGAGTGCAATCCGCATCATTATTCCTAACATTTTGGCAAATAAGATAATTATATTCAATGCGGCAAAATTCCCTACGCTTCTTTCATGTTTCTCGTTCCACCCAATGACATAGCTTAGCCAATCTCCACCTACCTGCTGTGCCCTGGTTTACACTCCTCACTTGAAACCCATTCACAATATTTGGACACCAACTAACGTACTGAAGGTATAATGTAAATTTACTAAGTATTTTATATCTGTAGAACGTCCTTCCTCGTCAATCATCAACTTCTATTATTAAATAAAGAGAACGTAAGAAGAATTGAATTCATGCCTTTTACAAGAATATTATTGCGAAGGGAATATAAAGATGTCAGAGTCCCATTTTGTTACTGATATTCATTGCGTCAGTCATGTAATTTAGTTACTGGCTAAATTGCCTTTTAGGTCTAGCTTACATTTTTTTTTACTCTGGTGCAGACTACCTTTTTTACTTTAATGCAAACCGGCCCTATATCTGCATCTCTAGTGCAAACGAGACCTATTTTTACTTTATTGAGTCTAGTGCAAACCGGACCAATGTCAACCTTTTTGACTAAAGTGCAAACTAAACCTATGTTTACATAGATGCGGCACGGCGGAGTTATGGATAGCGGCTTGGATTGAAGGCTCGGAGAGTTGAATCAATTGCGTTCACTTACGTGCTAATACCCTTGGAAAATATATGAATCCTCCCTATGGGTAAATAGCAGGACAGACCGGGTTCTATAGCCTTGGATGGCAACTAGTCTACCGCAGAAAGATATAGCAACCTACTGCGGGAATAAATCTTCCTCGTCAGTCATATATCGAAAGATACATGATCGCCTTAGCGTGTATCACGCATGGCACATAACTGCAAACCGGATCATGGTCTACCTTTTTCACTCTAGTGCAAACTAGATCTGTCTACATTTTAGACTCTAGTGTAAATCTGACATATATCGATATTTTTGACTCTAATGTAAACCAAACCTATTTTGAGCTTTTTCTTTTACTCTAGTGCAAACAAGATCTATGTCGATATGTTTTACTTTAGTGTAAACGGGACTAATGTCAACTTTCTGACTATAGTGCAAACCAGACATGTGTCTACATTATTGACTCTAGTGCAAATCAGACGTATGTCTATCGTTTTAACTCGAGTGCAAATCTCATCTTTCTACAAATTCACTGCGATTTCTATTCTATAAGACTTATATTCAATATTAAATAACCAAACACGAGTTGATTTGTCAGTGAATTAAACGAACATTAAAATATTCTAGGTTCTCAATGTACTCTTTTGTGCAATGATAGAGAAATCATGGAAGTTTCATTAAACTGACTCCGGATTTTGTCATTTACAACTTTTAGGAACAATTTAGAAGTTCGGAAGATATAATCCGTTAATTTGTAAAAACGAACATTTGTCATTGTATAAACTTTGATCATTTACTTCTTGCTCGATGCAGAAAATGTCATTTTTGGTCAAGATGAGCCTTAAAAATGAATTCTTTAATAGAATTTAAAACAAAGAAAATTATATCAAGGTCCAGGGTAGACATCTAATGTCCCAACCTAAACGGAATTGAATGGGAGTTTTATTTTTTTATCTAGTGGCATTGAAAGAGAATTCTTTATTAAAATTGTTAGAACCTGAACAGATTTTCACTTGCCATCATTGCATTAACAAATTGGCTTGTTTCAACGAAAGATTCAAGTAGCAACTGTCTTTTTTCTGGGCAAGGCATTTTAAGGATTCAAGTAGCAACGGTCTTTTTCTGGGCAAGGCATTTTGCCCTATCATAACACTTGTACTCGTGTTGCAAAAATATGGTTAGTGAATACGGGGAAAATCTAGCCATTTAAATTAAATAAAGGTTTCAGTTCTAAATTGCCTGAAGGTTATCCGGATCGACAAGTATCTGATGAAGTCGAAGGACATAACGACCGAAACGTTGTGATAACAACAACAACAACGATGAGGATAATAATCCGAGTGTAAATAACGTAAATTCGTCATTCCAGAAATTCAGTGAGAAACAACCTGAACTCTAAAGACAGAACAATTGTCACTCTTTAAATTCATTTTAACAAATTTCTTTTCTCATGAAGACGGGATTGAACCCAAGTCCGCGGTGCCTTTCATGCATTGTCGACAGATTGTAAGCTTAGCTTCGTTCCGCATAGGGAGGCATTAGTAAGAATCGAACATAAGACACTAGATAATTTTCTATCCGACAAGCTTGTTGACCATCGCTCTCAACCATCCCTGTTTAATTTCATTGTTGATGAGACTTTTATTTTAGAAATTATTTTTCATTAACCTTCCTTGTTTCTTCGTATTTTTATATAATTTTTTCCTATCTCTTTGTATTTTTCAAAAGCATTCTGTCTTTCCTTCTGTTGTGTTCCTTTTCTTTCTTTCTTTCTCTCTTTCTTTCTTTCTTTTTTCCATTTATTTCTATTTTTCATATACTTTTTTTTCTGTTGTGCTCCTTTTTCGTTTGCGTCGTTGTTTTACTTCTTTCTTTCTTTCTTTCTTTTTTTTTCTTTCTTATTTCGTATTCTCAACTTTCTTTTTTGCCACTTTAAAGTCTTCTTCTGCCTTACTCTTTTCGCGATTCCTTTTTTGTTTGGTTAAATTTTTTCTTTCCTGTTTTATTTTCGTTTGTGTCTTCATTTCTCATCTTTCTTTTTTCTTTTAATGTTTCTTTCTCTCTTTCGTTCTTTCTTTGTTTCTTTCGTTCTTTCTTTCTTTTTGTTTCTTCGCTTCACTGATTCTTTCTCTATTTCTTTGTTTTTCGTTTGCTCATTTCTTTCTCTCAAATTTCTTTTTGTTTGTTCGATTAAATTATTTTTCTCTTTTGCATTTTTTCGCGTTTCCTTTTTTGTTTCATTTTTTCACAATTTTTTCTTTCACGCTTCATTTTTATTAGAGTTTTCGTTTCATTTATTCTTTCATTTTCTTTCTTTGTCTCACTTTTCTATTTTTGTTTATTTCTTCAATTCATTGATACTTTCTTTCTTTTTTTCAATTTTCGTTTTTTTTTTTTTGCTTGCCACTTCCTTTTTCTTCTTTTCCTTTCTTGTTTTTTTCCTGCTTCTTTTTATTTTGCGTCTTTCTTTTTGTTTAAATTCTTTTTAAAAAAAAATTCATTTTCGTTTCCCTTTTCATGTTTCTTCTTTTCTTCGTTTAATTTGTCAGTATTTCAGGTTTTTTCGCATTTCTTTTCTTTCTTTTTGTTTCAATTCTTTCTTTTCACTAACATGCTTCTTTTTCCTTTTCTTTCATCACTTATTTTCTTTCTTTCACCTTTTTTTTTCTTTTGCGACTGCCTTTCTTTCCTTTTATTTCTTCCTTTTCCTCTATCAACGCTCTTTTAGTGAAGGAAACTGAAGCAATATTACAAATCCCGTTTGGCTTCTAACGCCATCTTGCTTACGGCCCCCCGCTCATCTCCGCAAAATTCCCTACGCTCCTTTCATGTTCCTCGTTCCACCCATCTCCATCTACCTGCTATACCCCGTTTCACACTACTCGCTTGAAACTCGTCCATTGGCACCAGCTAAGGTACTGAAGGCTGTATAATTCAATCTAGTGAACTAAAGAATGAAGTAAATTATTGTTTCAGTTGCACTTACGTTGAAGCACCGCTTCCCGTACGATTACCCAAGTTTAGCAACGTCGAGCCTGGTCAGTACCTAAATGGGTGACTGCTTGGGTATACCAAAACCAGGTGCTGTTATTCGGAGAGCCGAGTTCTAGTTCCCGTCGAGTTCGTTATAGTCATTTACCCACAAATACCGTTGGTAAAGGTAAGAATCCATCTCTTCTCACCCAGCTATGGGTTAATTAGTAAGACTTGTATAAAACCATCTCCAAAAGAATTCTTACAATCTAAAAATATTTTGACTAGCCATAGAAAACAAATCAATCAAATGCTCTGGCCCGGTTAGCATTCCTCGTTTGAAGCCCGTTCACAATCCTTGATATCAGCTGATGTACTGAAGGTTGTATAATTTGAAATTCAATCTAACGCCGGATATGTAACATTCTTCAACAGAATATAACACAGAAGGAAGGAAATTATCATTTCAGTCACACTTGAGGGGTTTAGCTTAAAGGTATAGTGCAGGATGAGAAAGCTTCGTGCGTTAGAGTGCCTCAATCGTGTGTCACCCAGTTAAGATCGAATTCATTGCTCTAATACAGTGGTTCTCAATTGGGGTCTATATGGACCCTGGGGGGGGGTCTCATGTAACATTACTGGGGTCCACACAAGAAATATCAAATTGGGGGCTAATTACTCACATATATTAAAATGGTTTATTATTTTACTAGTGTACATAAATGTTCCATAGAAGTTAGTTGTTAAATACAAGTTTACTATCATTAAATTATTTTTACTTCAAAATAAAGCATATGCATTTACTATTTCTATAATACAATTCCTAAACTTGTCTATTAGTAAAAAATAAAATAAGCATTTTTTTCATCGTTGGGGGTCAACCAAAAAATTTAAGAGCAAAAGCGGTCCATGGGTTAAAAAGAAGTTTGAGAACCAATGGTCTAATATTAGTGTGTAAGTTGATTTTGTTAACCTTATCCTTATAGCAGGCGTATGATGAGCTATTTTGTAGATATTTATAAAACTTAGCTGAGTTTGGCAAAGGCAAACGTAATTGGAGCCCACAGAAAAGATAAACTATCCTAGCAAGGTCTGCTAGCTCAATCCTTAGCATGGCATCGTACAGAACAATGATTGCCTATATAAATAAGTATTTTTAATTCGCCGTTATTAGTGTAATTAAAATTTACACCCCCATCATAACCTTGTGCCAAACTTAACGAGGTTGAACATCAGTACGTATTTGAGACTTAATGCAATGAAATTTATTGTTGACGTTCATCTTTTTCCTCTTTCTCAGAGAAAGTGTCGATATTTTTTATGGTTTATTGGTCTTTTTTCTGCACAATATTAGTTCGTGGTTGACCTCTTTAAGGATGTCAATAAATGATAGAAACAGTCAAGATTGCTTTCGACTTCAGTACCAGAATACAAAAGCATTGTTTCGAGATCGTTAGCCAGAACAATAAACTCAGAACTAGCTGAAAAACTTTTTTTTTCCTTTCAGAAGAGTGATGCCAGGGCATTAGAAAGAAGCGACCCGAGTTCCAAACATCTTCGAATCTGCCTGTCATTAGAATACGCTCGTAACCCTAGAAGCAAATATGGCTAATTTCTTATCATCGTTCACGTTCATTTTACCTTTCAAAGAGTTCTTTGCCGATGCGATATTCATATCGGGACCTAAGAAAATAATAATAATAATAATAATAAAAAAACAAAAAACAAAACAAAAAACAAAAATGAAAAAAACATTTCGCTCGGAGTTTTATTCAGTGAATAGAATGTTAGCTTTCCGAATGTGAAACCCGAGTTCGAATCACACTGTGGTCAAATTGTCAAGAAGCTGAGTTTTTGACTCGGGAAATGATTCTCTTGTGTGGCATCGTTATAAAGTGTCTGTAAATCATATCACAGATTAACTCAAAATTTGTGAGAGGAACTGAGTAAACAAAATTAATTGGAAGCTGTCAATGTTTGTCCGAGCACAGACTCACAAGTCATCGTGACTGAGGGGTTGAACATACTGACATTGTCCAACTATTGTTTGTTTGTTTAATGGCATTCGGTGTAGTAATGGACAGCGGCTCGGATTGAGGAATCGGAGAGCCAAGTTCGAATTCCAGTCGAATCCATTACATTCACTTATTTGGGTATAATATGAATTCTCTTCTTCTCCCCACCCCCAGCTATGGGTAAATAGCAGGACAGACCGGGTTCTATAGCCTTGGATGGCAACTGGTCTACCGAAGAAAGAAATGGCAACCTACTACGGGAAAAATCTGCCTCGTCAGTCATGTATTGAAAACGTGTATCACGCATGGCCCATAACTGACTGATGGGTCATTTAATGCCGAAATTTAATTTTCTTGGGAGTTTTGATGAAATAAAAATATTATATATGTTATTCTGCTTTCACAATTGAATACATGGTAAATGATACTCAGCTTTTGTGCATATATATGTTTGTGTGGACATAATTACTAGAGGTCGTGATATGCGTTTTATGTCGTAGTTTTGTTGAAGTTATGCAGTTTGATTTTTGGATTCATGATATGCAAAAGTTCTCTCATGTTGGTTGTTTGATTGGTTGGTTGATTTTGTTTCGCGGCATATCAACATCTCTATGGGTTATTTAATGTCGAAATCTTAATATTTTGAACACAGTTGTATACCTTCAACTACAGATAAAGTCATTTTACTATAAATAGGCATTGTTGGTAAGTTGTATTATAGAAAATGTGTTGTTGGTATTCTTACTATAAAAATGTATTTTTACTATAAAAATGTATTTTGTTTTTTAAACTTTCATGGTGTTTTAGTGTCATGGTGTTCACTATTTGCCCATAGCTGGGACCCTAACAGATGCTACCACGCCGGGTCAGGGTTGTCCTGGGAACAACAGCAATTAAGAGGTGATTCCACGCTCCTCAAAACCACCAATCTCCCGACCAGAGGCCTTTTTTTCAATTACTGATCATACATTGATAGAGCAACCATTGTTATTTTCTTTAAGTAAAAATCTCTCTATTAGAACAATGTTTCCCAATTCCAAGTAACTGTTATCGCTCTTTCCAGTACTGAGAGGAGCTTCCTTGCTAATCTTTTGTTTGAAGTCGTGTAGAACGTCAACATCTTGATTATTTCATTATTTTCTATTCGAGTTACACGTGATATCGATTTTAGTTGATGCTGTTGTTGAAAGCCCTCAACTGATGTTATTTGTGTTATTTGGTACAGTTCTTTGTGAATTTGTAATACCAGTCCACAAGGTTCGAAAAATTATGGTCCTCGCTGACATCTACATTCGCTTAAAGACATTTTAAAGCACCGATCCGAGAAAACAGTTGCACATAGCTGATACTTTAAGTATTTCTGAACGAGTTTAGGGCCATGGATATCATCCATGTGTTGTATAGCCTTTTCGTGCTGGTGGTGGTCTTGGAGCGACGGTCTTGATTCACTCAGATGTTGCATTCTTCTCTCTGTCATCTTCCGGGTAGCGAAATGTTTTTGAAGTCCGGAGATGAAAGACATCGACCAACGAGATTTTAACTTAACTATTATTTTATTAATCACGTCGACGGGTACATATTCGAACTGATTAGTATGGTTGCTCTCACTCCACCCCTTACTGGGGAGCAAGTCCCCAGACACGAAATAACACGTCTACAGTGTTAGATGTGTCAAACTTAACTCCTTGAAATCCCTATCTCTGACATTCCCACGCTAGTTTTATCCAATCAAAAATGACTTCATTATTTACATTATTCACAGATGAAGAGACTTGAAACAACAGACAGTTAATTCTACAGAAGAATGTTAAGAATACAATGGACCGGACATGTGAGCAATGATGAAGTTTTAGATAAAATGGAAGCAAAAAGAACACGTATATTTAACTTCAAGAAGAGAAAGGTGAAATTTCTAGGGCACATAACGAGGAAAGAAGGCTTGGAAAACTTGATACTCACAGGACAAATTGGAGGCAAGAGGGATAGAGGAAAACAACGCATGGGCTTCCTAGTGGGCTTGAATAAATGGGTGGCGGACAAACTTTCCCAAATGAAATTGTGGAGAGCCATGATCACCAACGTCCTGAAGAAGAAGTATTAGTAGTAGTAGGGGGAGGAAGAGATTGAGGAGTTGAGAAAAAGAAGAAGGAGGAGGAATGAGAAGGCGGTGTTGTCAAAAGTATGAAGTTCGTTGTAGTTGAAGAAAACGACAGGGTAGTAGTAGTAATTATAGTTGTAGCTGTAGTAGAAGTAGTAGAAACAGAAAGTAAATGTATTAGTAGCAAGAAAAAGAAGAAGAAGAAGAGCAACAACAACAACACGACGAAAGAGATAATGTCATTTTAGCAGCGCCAATCGCCGGATGTTAAGCTATGGCGGAAATAGTCTAGAGTCGGTTACTGAATCAGACGGACTTTATTTTGAAGGTTTTTGCTATTTCAGTTGCATCAAAAATGTTTAAAATATATCTGAATGTGTAAACTTTTTGGGCCCAAAAGTTAAACAAATGCGTGTATAAGATGTCTAATCCGGTTTCAAAGTGTTAAACAATCGTTTTAAAATTACTAAAGGCTCCCTAATGCCCCTGAGCAGGTAGTAACCACTTGATAATTTACATCATCTCAGAGAGGCGTTTCCACATTGGAAAATCACCCGTCTAGAGAATAAAAATAGCGTCGAGATCTCAAAAGGAAGATTGGACGTAGGCGAATGGGTGTGCGACATAGAACCAGATGTAGAAATCGCGTTTCAGTTTGATAAGAGTAGTAGTAGTAGTAGTATAGTAGTAGTAGTAGTATAGCTGGCCACTCGTATTCGAGGATACAAGTCTACTAGCCAATCCCTATTGCAGACGCTTGCTCAGGCGCATTTTTGTTTATTCAACACTTAAAGAGCCCACCTGGGGTTTATAATGCAAATATGTTGAACAGACCTTAGTTACAGTTTCTGGAAAAGAGCGTGTTATCTAGCGTGATCAACAATCTGAACAAGGCCAGCACGATCAAGCCCTCGGCCCCGATGACTTGCGACTATCGTGCTAGCACAGCTATCGATGGTAACCAAGGGTTCCGTCTACCCAAGTTCTCACAAGGCTTGGTTCAATCCGTGATATAGTTTTCAGGCATTTTCCAAAGGTGCCGCACGCTGGGATCGACCTCGATACCATCAGGAAGTCTCTTTACTGAGAAATTGACCATAGTGAGATTCGAACCCGAGTTTCATGGTCAGTATGCGAACGTTCTAACCACTCAGCCACATACATGCCAATCATGATAAGGGTATATCGGGCATCATAGCCAATTATGCGCATTAAGGTACAGCAACCGCCGTCTGTCAAACTCTCTGCATTAGCAGGGAGGAACCCGGACGAAGCTTTGCCGAAGGGCAAGGTTTTGTTCGGGGAGGTTATGACAGCTCTCGAACCCGCCTAGGCGGGTCGAAGGCTATATTTTTGGCTGGGCCTACGGGCTCGGGTGACCACGTAAAACTCGGCCTTGTGCCACATGCGACCCCTCGTGGGGGGGACAGCTAAATATCTAGCCAATTATGCGCGATATGGTAAGAGGTTTTAATAATCTGCGGATAACACAAAACTACCGACAGTGACGATTAACGTATGTCCCCTGGGGAAGGCAGCGTTGTCTTGACAGACCATTGGGCCTTAAACTCACACCTGACCTAAAATGGAAGTCGTACATATGAGCCATCACTAAAGATGCAGTTAAAATGTTCGGCTCCCTGTGCCGCTACAGTTCCTGGTTCCACGTGCTATACTCTACATTTACAAGAGCAAGATCAGGCCAAACATGGAGTACCGTTGTGCTATTTGGCCGTGAGTTGCCCAGACCACCCTCTTCAGCCTCGATAGAGTCCAAAAGCGTATCCGAGTTCTTATGGGTGACGAATTATTTTCTACCCTCCAACCTCCTTCTCTCAGGCGGGATGTGGCAAGCCTCCCTCTGCTCTGTTGCTAGTTTCATGGAAAGTGTCCGGACGAACTACATTCTTTGGTTCTGGCAGTTTTAATCTTCACGGTAAGGACCCGCCATACCACTTGTATTGTAGTAAACCACCCACATTCTCCCCGTATTCTATCGGTGGGAAGTTCTACTCGAGCAGTTTCTTCCCGTGAACCAATTGTCTGACGAGATGACCCGCTGAACTGAAGCATATTGCTAAGCGGAGGAAAATAAACCAACCGGGATTCCCTTAGTAACGGCGAGTGAACCGGGAGAAGCCCAACGCCGAATCCCGTCGCAAGTAAAAGGCTTCGGGACATGTGGCGCATGGGTCGAAGGCAGCCGCTCGTTTTCGTCTCGCGTAGTTCGAAGTTCCCTCGATCGGGGCCGCCCGCGGCGGGTGCCAGGCCCATTCGGTGCGGACGGCGAGCGTCGGCCTTCAATCCGAGAGTCGGGTTGCTTGGGAACGCAGCCCAAATAGGAACCAACTCCCAAGAGGATATTTCCCCGATCGCTACAATCATAACCTGTTCAGGGTTAGGGTTAACCGTTATCTTTCCCTCAAAGTGTTGAATTATCGTTTTAAAATTACTGAACACTACCATAATGCCCCTGAGCACGTAGTGTTCAAATGGTATGTCGCAACATCTCAAGGAGTTGATACTCACCACATTGGAAATCACTTGTTTAGAGAATAAAAAAAAAATGCATGCATGTATCTTAGACTTCGGAATTCAAACGGATAACAGTCTAGGCCAGGAGACCAGATCTTCTTTCTTTTTATGTGCCATGTCCTTTCAGAACGTAGGCGATCATGACTCTCCACCTCCTTCTATTCCTTGAAGCTCTCATCAGGTTCCTTCTTTCTGCTTACTCCCCCAGACCACGTTCTGTCATCCACTTGCTTAAGTCCGCCAGGTATGTCACGCGTTGCTTTCCTTTGTCTCTCTTTCCCTCTATTCGACCCGTGAGTATCAGATTCTCCAGGCCCTCCTTCCTCATTATGTGTCCCAGAAACTCCAGCTGCCTCTTCCTGGTATTAAGTATAAGCCTCCTCCTTGTTTGCAACCTCTTTAAGATCTCATCATTGCTCACACGCTCGGTAAGGAGAAGAAAACATGTCAGTAGGTAGATGTTGATAATCAAACAGAAGACAAAGTAAAGCTAAAAGGAAATGAGAAGATAACCGGATATAGAGAACGAAATAGTAGATTTTTTTTAAAAAAACAGGGTACAAAAAGGAGTGAGATGTTAGTTTGGAAAAGTGAGTAAGAAAAGACAATAAACGAACAATGTTCAGGAAGACAGAAGATGGTGATTGATGTTGCATTTAAATTCTTGAAGATTGTAAGTGGCAAGAGAGCAAGAAATCGGAAAGGAGTTCCACAAGTGAGAAGTGCGAGAAAACAAACCGTTACAGTTGAAGTGGTTCTTTGCATCTGGCTAGTTCACTAGTAAAACGGCGAGGCTTAGTTGCCAATCGAATAGCACCCTTACGTTCACGTAGCCGAGGCGCTAGGGAAAAAACTCATCAGTACAACTGCCATGAAAATATTTGTAGAGCAGATAGTTGAAAGCCACGTCACGTTGGTGGGAGAGTGACTGAAGTCAAGATGCCAGGGCAGGATCTATTATATTACAGACCCTTCTTTGAATTTTGTCAAGAATCTCAAGATATAAAGTAGAAGCATAAGACCTGATATGACAGCCTGCATGGACGAATGGTATGTTTGTAAATATGCCAGATGGATTCTGACGAGAAAATGTTTCTGGCACGATATAGTGAAGCAAACGAGGTACTATATTGAATCAGTTGCAGCAAACGTAGCAACTGATTCAATATAGTGCCCCCCCCCACCGTTTTCATGTCAGTGGAAAGAAGATGTAGTGTTAGTTGCTCCCTTTAGTGGCACACTTTGAATAATTCCGAAGAGCCTTGGAAGAATATCTGGATATTGCACGAGAATTGAAAAAAAAGAATGGAACATGAAAGTGATAATTGTGCCCATCATTATCGACGTACTTGAAACAGTCCCGACGAACCTTGGAGGAATTTCTGAACCTTGCAAAAGAACTAGAAAAAAAAAACGGAAAAGAAAAGTGACAATTGTACCCTTCATTATCGGTGTACCTCAAACCATCGCGAAGAAACTTGTGTGATTTTCTGGACGTTGCAAGGGAATTGCAAAAAAACCCAAAGAAACAAACAAACAAAAAAAAAAAAAAAACAAACAAAAACGACCCCCTCAAACAAAACAAAACAAAAAAAATCAAAACAAAAGACAAAATGATGACAATTTTACCCATCATTATCAGCATACTTGAAACAAAACCGAAAACTCATGAAAAAAAGTTTTGAACATCAGGAAAATATGTTATTTTTATGACATGGTTAAATAAAAAAGATCTGTGGTCCATATAACATCAAGACGACCTACAAAAGGAGTTCAACACTTTGCTGACACCTCTTCCGAGTAAGACCCTTGCTATAGAGGAGAACATGACTAAGGATTGTGTGTATGCTAATCCCGTGAAACTGTGGTAAGAAATATAAAGGCGAAACAGGCTATCCTCTTAAGGTAAGGCTGAAAGAATATCGTAAAGCCGTAACAAATGAGAAAATAGAAAAATCAGTCGTACCTGACCTCATATGGAAGGAAAAAAGGAGATCACTACCCCATCTCCGTGGGTTGGGGTTGAAATAATAGACAGAGAAAATCACTGGAAAATACGAAAACATAAGGAATCAGTACATATGCTAGGCCACAAAAAATCTCCTAAGCCGGCCACACATAGATATGAATACAATAACAGTAATACAGAGTACGAGAGAAAAGCAATAATAGCAACAAAAATTGCAATATGAGCTGTGGTAAAAAATGATGTCTGAAACATTAAGGTTTATAATTCCCCAAAATTCCTATACTGATGCCCTGAAGAACACATGGCCCAGTGGATGAAAGCATTGGCTGGACCCAGTAACTTGTAGTGGTAAACAAAAATTTAGAGAGTTGAGTTAAAGGGAGATAACTGAGACATCCGGAAGAGGCATGGCACGTGGAACTAGAACAATCTACCCCGGTGGACGAAATAGAGGGTTCAGTTCGAAATTCCAATCACCGAAACGTTGTGAATATGACAACAGTCCGAACAATGTAAATAACTACAATACCTCATCTCATAAACATAGTCAGGAAATCGACTTAATATTTTGTTAAACATGAAGTGGGGGATCAGTTTGCTGTTGCTGTTAAGTAATAAACTGTATAGAAGAGTAGGTGATGAAAATACCGAGGAGAGTACAGTAGTGAGCAAACTTGCTGTCACTTGACCTACAGAGGAAGCCATTTGTTACAATTGGTGTGAACATTCAGCGAATACAGCTATTATAATATACATGGGATTTGTTGTTGTTGTTGCTGTTGTTGTTGCTGTTCTTTTTCTTGCTACTAATACATTTACTTTTCTACTACTTCTACTACAGCTACTACTATGATTACTACTACTACTACCCTGTCGTTTTCTTCAACTACGACGAACTTCATTCTTTTGCCAACATCGCCTTCTCATTCCTCCTCTTCCTTCTTTTTCTCAACTCCTCCTCAATCTCTTCCTCCCCCTACTAATACTAATACTTCTACTCCTCATAAGATAAACGGCATTTATTTTGTCTTGATTTGGCGGCTCTAATTTCATTGTTGGGCCAAACTTCCTGCCATCCAAATTTGACAGGACCAGCCAACATCCGCTGGCTTGTCCACCTACGCGGGTCCTAAATCCGGTTCTATTGCGCACACCCATTCGGTAGTGTTCAATCTTCCTTATGAGGATCTCAACGTTATGGGATCTTGCCATTATTATCATTATTGTTATTATTACACCTTATAATTCTGCTTATTCCATTGTTTCGTATTTAATTAGCGCGTACGTTACGCCATCTCTACCTCACAAATAAAGGACTATTTGATTTTGATCGCCAGGAAAGACAGAAAAGAAATATCAGAGACGCTGTTTGGTTTCAGTGAGAAAGAATAAAGAAAGATGGGTGTTTTAGGATTTGTATATTTGTACCTCAGCGTAACTTTTTTGGAGTGCGGCTCTTTCACTGAATAATAATAATAATAATAATAATAATAATAATAATACACCCTTGTGCAAATTAACTTAAACAACCGCTTTAGTTTCCTTTCTTTCACCATACGGTCAGTTTTAGACCCACTGGAGTGACAGGGTTTAATCGATTTCTGTTTTTTTTTTCTTCTCAGATTAGGTCATTGGTGTGCTGTAATATGAATCTATTTTCGGGGTGTATGACTTTGAAAAATATTTTTCATCACGCCCAGACACTATTGTCTCGACTGTCGATTAATTGTCCAACGTCCATTGTCTGCGATGCACGTTACTCCAAGAAAGTGTACGAAAATTGTAACGCTGCCCGAACATATTGGCAAGCCTTACCAGTGAGCAAATGAAAGTACTATAGTCTGGCCCGGAAACTCACCTGATTTCAATCCAATCAAGAACCTGTGGTCAACCTGCAAGGAACGACTTCGTGGAATGGACATACGAAGTACTAATATGTGTATTGGTTCATGTTTCAATAGGAAAATAAAAAAATGTAATTAATGACAGACTTATTCGTTTTGTTTCAATTAATTTTCACAGGGGTGTAATAACGAAGAGTAATTGTAACAATTGCAATCTAAGAAACGTAGGAGTATAGGAAATGATTAATTAAATGGTTCATTTTATTAAAACGACTAAGGGAAATCTATTAACTTAAGTTGATTTACCTCTCTTCCCACTGTGACAGGAAATATATAAATAAATACACATTGATAATTATTATATAGTTAAAGTGTTTTTTAATAGTAGTATTAGTATTATTATTAGTAGTAGTATTCATACATCTGCATGTTCACGGTAAATGTCTAGCGGTTATCTCCGAAAATATCCAGCCCATTTCCCAGTATCCAGAGCTACCGCGGTCGGGAGGAGTGGTACTCAAGCTTTCAAAGGATGGATTCATATCTTTCTCAACGGTATTTGGGTGTAAGTGAATATAATGAACCTGGCTGAAATTCGAGCTGGACTCTCCGATGTTTTATCAGTTGCATCACACGCACATGCACCAGAAGAAATAAAAAAGAGGAAGAGTTGGTGCAACGTGCAGTTGTCATAATTCTACATCTGTTGACGTGATACTGAAATTATCTTATCAACTGTCAATTACAAAAGAAAAATATATTTACATTATTTACACGCAAACTATCTTTGCTGCTGTTATCGCAACGTTTCGGGATGAAGACCGTAGGGTAGAACGGCTGAAACGCTGTGATAGACACAAGAAATATAAGGACAATAGTCCACGTGTAAATAATGCAAATCATGATAACTTCTCATCGCAGAAATTCGGACAGAAAAATATTTTGGAATGTCTATTGTATTTCTGTGTTTTGTCGGAATAATAGATGGCAGGAA